TTTTTCTCCTCTGTTAAAGCCAATCCATGAGTATCCATTCATTTCTTTGTTGTCATTGGATCCAAAATGAGTTTTACTCAAGTATATGTGTCAAACTTCTTTATGCATGCGCATATGTGTTGCAATGAATATATAACATCAAATATCTGGTAGTGTATCAGCCCTGAGATGGTTTTGGACTCCAGATTTGTATAGTTCCAAAGGGCTGTATCGCCCTAAGGGCTAGATCACTCCATTTCGCTCTGTTTCTAAGAAGAGTATCGCTCTCAAATTTCGAACCAATATTTCTTTTTAATTGTGTAATTAAAGAGTAAAATTTGTAATTAAATGCTAAAGGTACTCTGTACTCAAAAGTAACATCTGTGTTATTAAAATAACTTAATTGTGCTAAACTATTGAGAAAACTGTTTCTAAAAAGTTCGTAAATGATGTTAATGTGATATAAGAAAGTCAGATCTTGTTTAATTAGATAGTTCGAAAGGAAAAGATGCTTTATTGTTTATTTGTTTTGAATCTAAATAATTCCCAAAATGTTCTTATGCCATAACAAAATAAGTATTGTAATGTAAAAATGAGCTAAAAATGAGTTACTATAAATATATGGCCAATGATAACAGGTACACTAGCTGGTTGGGCTGACCCAGTTTTCCAAACACAGTAAACTGAAAGTAGTGCTCTCAAAGGTTGTGACATTCAGATCTTTATAGCAAAATGTAAAACGTTTCAAAAATATATGTAATTCTCTTTTTAATTTTCGAAAACTTTATCATCATCACTGCAAAGAATTCATCTTCGTCAACCATCATCTTGAATGGCGTCCTTCTTCACGAAGATCAATTTTTTTGCAACTAAAGCATAAATCCCTTTTTGTTGTGTTAGAAAAAAAAGATAGCTTTGCATTTTTTGTTTTATAGCTTTGCATATTTTGTTTTATTTTATCTAGGGATGTCAACGAATATTCGAGTACTCGACTATCGTTCGATCATACCGACTATCGACTAAAAAATTTTTATTCGGTTATTCGTTAAAAATTTGCTACTTAAGAGTAATTTTAAATTCAAGGTAATAAACTTGGATCCGCCCAATTCATTTATCAACAGATCAATGTTTTCGTATGTAAAACTCAGGGTAAGGCTTAACTGTGCATAGAAAATTATTTGTATGTCAAATTATGTTCGGCAAAACATGCCTCCGAAATCTACATTTAAAAAATGTCAGGATGTAAAAACAGTTAAATGTACGTTATGACGGTTATGTGAAACTAAACTTGTATTCTGCAGTGGAACATGAAATATGATGTATCATATGCCGAATCCGTCAAACATACTGAAGTCTTCAACTGAAACTTTCCAGAAATTTCCCGCATAAATGCCTAAGTGAGGAGCCGGAAAAAAAAATTGATATCACAAACATGATTATCAAGGATTGTCTACCTCTTTTTTGTTGTAAATGGAGAGGGTGTTCAAGAATTGATTGGTTTAAAATTTGAAGATTCAAATTAATCATAAAGTTTCAACCTTCAATTCAATAAGACCTGAATTAATGCAACTATTAATAAACAATAATTAAACAGCTGTTACATAAATTTAAATACATGTAGTTATGAGCGCAATTAAATGGTTTTCTTTCTGATATTAATATCATGCACGCAGTCATTTTAGGATTGTTTTGATTGTTTGCGCAAATTCTTATAATTAAAATTTATCGCCATCTCTCTCTGTTTTTATAAGAGGTACGCTTTCATTATTTACCAGTCATTGTTCACTGACACGTCACGTACAAATGGCTTCAATTAACGGGTACATGTACTAGCATTATGAAAAGAAAGGGCAGCGTTAGATATCCTGCATTTAGATAAAATGTGCAGTAGATATCATATTTGAAATCAAATACGTTGAATACATATATTTATTACTACGTAAATATTTACGATTCAGAAATCCGTTGTATAATGGTGATAGCGTAGATTAAATATTGTACAAGTAGTCTGTAAAAGACAAATAGTAAAAAAAAAATGACAAGAACAAGATGTGTTTGTGAAACACTGATGCCCCCGTATGGCAGCTTATGTCGAAGGTTAAAGTTTCTCAAATGCAAGTCAAAATCCAGGCCAAAAGATAAAAAATGTTGATATCCAAAGAAATTTGAAAGACCTAGATACAACTGTTCAAAAGTTATGGTGATGGTTAAAGTTTTTTAAATAAAAGTCAAACGTCAAGGTCAAGGTCAAAGTGGTTGGTATCCAAAGGAAGATCTTGTCACAAGGATTACATATGTGAAGTATGAAAGCCCTAGCACCAACCATTCAAAAGTTATGGCCAAGGTTAAAGTTTTTCAAAAGTAGGTCAAACTCCTAGGTCAAGGTCAAAGGGACAAAGTGGTTGGTATTTAAAGGAAGGTCTTGTCACAAGGATTACATATGTGAAGTATGAAAGCCCTAGCTCCAACCATTCAAAAGTTATGGCCAAGGTTAAAGTTTTACAAAAGTAGGTCAAACTCCTAGGTCAAGGTCAAAAGGTCAAAGTCGTTGGTATTTAAAGGAAGGTCTTGTCACAAGGATTAGATATGTGAAGTATGAAAGCCCTAGCTCCAACCATTCAAAAGTTATGGCCAAGGTTAAAGTTTTTCAAAAGTAGGTCAAACTCCTAGTCAAGGTCAAAAGGGTCAAAGTGGTTGATATCCAGAGGAAGGTCTTGTCACAAGGAATACACATGTGAAGTTTGAAACCCCAAGCTCCAACTGTTCAGAAGTTATGGCCAAGGTTAAAGTCTCATAAAATTTTGCAAAAGTGGGTCAAACTCCAAGGTCAAAAGGTCAAATATGATGGTACCCAAAGAAAGGTCTTGTCACAAGGAATATACATGTGAAATATGAAAGTCATAGCTCCAACCAATCAAAAGTTATGGGCAAGGTTACAGTTGACAACAGACAGACAGACAAACGGACAAACAGACAAACAAACAGACAAACAGATAAACAGACAAACAGACAGACAGGACAAAAACAATATACTCCCGGGATCTTTCGATCCGGGGGCATAAAAATTTATTTAAATTTCAACGAATATTCGACTATCGTTCGACTAAAGCCTCCGACTATTCGACTAAGCTGTCCGAATAAAATTGACATCCCTAATTTTATCAGATTGTCATTGGTTTTAGATACATGGTGCTGTATTGAACTTATCTCTAGTATCCACCCTCGGATGTATCGACCCACGCCTTCTCTCTCTAGAGCAGTGGACAGGCATTCATCTACACCCACTTCTCTTAGGAAACCTGATGTTTTTATTCTGGAAAACGTGTAAATGTCGAACCGTAGACAACCTCATTTTCAACTGACATTTCGACTCAAATATGCCTGAATTTACGAGACAGGCATGTTATTTCTATTACATGTATTTTAACATAACTACACACATTTGGCACAAGGAAACCACCACCCACTCATTGTTAATCCTATTTCACAAGTTCTCAATACCGGATTTAAGATAATGTTCATCTACCACAGCTTATTAGAAAAAAAATATGAAAATTTTAAGTCGGGGATTTTGGAGAAATTGGTTAACACGCATTTAGTTCTTTAAAAGCAATTTGTGACATTTTCATTTAGCATATTATTCTGAGTTATTATTATTATTGTTACTTTAGTATTTTGAAAAAAAATAAACGTTAAATGAGTTTTAAAACATGCTAATCACTTCTGTTATAAAATACTAAAAATCTTTTCTTTTATTCTTAAAGCTATATATGGCGTATCTCAGCTAAAAATTAAAAATACGAGATTGAGTGTAGATAAACATGATATATGTTATTTCCGTTCAAATTAAAATTTTCACAGATTTTGAACTTGAATAACATGGTCTCATGTTTCCATATTTATATTGACTCTAAACTGTCTGTGATTTAAATGCTGAGTCGGTAAATAAATCGGTTATTGTTTTAAATTTCTAATATCTTTGAAACGTGATTGATTTAAATTGTGTATTTTACAGGAAAGTCCTATCTTAATATAAAGTAATAAAACAAATAGTAAGATCTTTTTAATCTTAGTTAGTCTAAACTTCTTTAAAAAAATGCGCCATATATGAATTTAAACGTATTAAATCTACCTTTTTCCGAGAAACGAGCAAGAGGATTTAAACGAAGATTAAAAGAATTTGCAAGAATGTTGAAGAAATACTGCCGCGTAAAATGAAATAGAATTGACAATTTCTCTCCTTTTCATGGTTATTTTGTAAAAATATTTCCAGTTTTAATCAAAATATATATTTTTTTTCTTCTTTCAAGTCGCATGCTCATATTTGAAACCGGAATTGGGAACTCGTGAAAATGAATTAACAACGAGTAAGTGTTAGTTTTCTTTTGACTGTTGTATTTATGTTTAAGCTGTAGCAATATCATGTCTAATTAAAGGCATATTTGAGTCGACATGTAATTTAAAGCGTAGACCGTAACCGATTCCAAAATTACATTATTTTTAGAATCAAAACAAGATGGTTTGCGAAGAGAAGTTGATATAGGCGAATGCCTGTCCATTTTTCTAAAGAGAATAACCGGCGACACGTGCAGTGTAATATTCTGTATGTCGCTAATGGAACATGGGTGCCGTTATAATTACAAATGTTAGTTGAATATAGACTACACTTATCATTTATCGTATCTAGAGTTTAAGAAAAATAGACATGTTTACTATTATTTTGATATATCCTTACAAAATAATATACAATATCTATGTACTAGTCTAAATAAAGAAAAATTATCATAAATTGTGAATGGAGATAACAAACACCCTTTGATAGAAAAATACACACAAAGGTATATCTTTATTTAAAAGTAAGATCATCATCAAACATAGCAAATATATCTTATTGTCGAAACATTCATGTACAGCTTAGAAAATTTTCAGTACATAGAGGTTAACTAGACACATATAAATTCTTTTTAAATACGTTGATTATCAAGCTAAAATATCTAATCTAATAAATTAAACGTGGTATATATAACAAAATTGTGTCGAATCTCTGGTATAAGCAATGTATTTATCTTAATTTAAAACTATAAATTTGTCATTGATGATTGGAAAAGAATATCTCTACTCATAAAACATTTGAACTTTCCGAGACAATTCCAGTTGATAGTGATGACATCAGAACTTCATCATATGTATTTAAACATTTTCTGTGTGTTTATTTCCAGATCTTCCTGTCCCTCGATGCTTTCTTCTGTAGTTTTGTTTTCAACTTCGCCATCATCATCATCCATGGTGTGTGAGATAACATAGTTGTTTATTCTAGTCGACTCTTTCTTGACTTGCTAAATTGAAAAGAAAGATTTACTCCAAAAACGCCACGTTTGTTTGAGAAGGAAATCTAATCAACAAAAGGAGCATATGAATCAATAGGCCCCTAGGCCACAACACCTCAGTCATCTAAGCCCCGAGGTTCACTATCAAAAGATTTTCTCCACTTTTTCGCATGAATAATTGGGATCCTATCTAAACTCTAAGGTTTCTCTGTATCCAGACAACATGAATAATTGGGACCCTATCTAAACTCAAAGGTTTCTCTGTATCCAGACAACATGAATAATTGGGACCCTATCTAAACTCTAAGGTTTCTCTGTATCCAGACAACATGGATAATTGGGACCCTATCTAAACTCTAAGGTTTCTCTGTATCCAGACAACATGAGGATGCTTCTATAACATATGATTAACATTTGCATATGATATAGCAAAATGACTTTTTATTTAACAGTAGAATCTTTTATCTGCTAAAGAGTTTCATGATCTCGAGGTAATGCTATCTCTGGTCATCAGCTAAACGTCACAATGTCTATGACCGTACCAAGCCCTATTTTAAAATATGTTAGGAAAAAAATAGAAAGCACATTGACAAATTAAGCATAAGAACCCACTTCGACATTTTGTCGATGGAAACATTTAAAATAATGCGTATTTCAAAGAAAGCATTAGCTTTATTGTCCAATATTCTGCACAATTTCTGTGTTATATGATATTAAATTTATTACCCTTTGATATGTCTGGAAAAGTCGTCGAAGAATGTGAACAACTGCGTGTGTATCGATGTTCTGTCTTGCTTCACCATAACGAATTTCGTCTGTCATTGTTTACCAAAAACATATATTAGTAACAAGGTATCTATCTATTCTTCTTAAGCAAAATTCATTTCCAAATGTAGATTTTTTTTTTGGTTTTATTATACCGTTGAATTTACTAAAAAAAAGAAAAGAAAATATTTACCATTCTTTGTCTCTTTGCTTCGAGAAACGGCTGTCGAAATTAAACTAATGATATCCTTTACAGAGGCAAGAGTATAATCGCTGATACCGAACACATGTCCAGCACGTTTGTTCCTATTCTTCACGATGTCTATTGTCTCGTTCAGAATTGCAGCAAATATGTTTAGCAACAGAAAAATGACGGAAACCCCATAGGTGAAATAAAAGAAGAGAGCAAAAACCGGTGAGGCGTTCATTAAGATTACAACATTATTTTTCCCAATAAGTGTGTTCGCTAAACTTCCAAAAACGGTGGCCATGTTCCTGAAGCTGTTAACAAACTTCCCGAAACGCAGGTATATCATAGAAGCAAACGCACACAGTGTGATGCCAAAGACAATAAAAAAACCCAGTAAAGGACGTGCAGAGTTAGATATCACTCTCCAGAAAACCGAAAGTCTCTTGCTGTACTCAAACGCCCTAGAAATTCTTAGGAAGGCTATAAAAGAAATTACACCTAATACGACCTGGATTGCACTGTTCAGTACAACTATTTGGTAGTAATTAATAAAATTGTTTTCTCCTGTATATTGTTGATCATAAAACATCTTCTCGGTCTTGTCAGATATGTTTTTGCGGATAATGAAGAGGACAATGGAGCAAGCACTGGTAAGGGCAAATAATACGTCCACCCAGAACCAGACTCTTTGGATCACATTTCTGCAGTCTGTTATCAACTGATTCACAATATCAACAAACAGAAAAATAAAGTATACAACAAAAAGGACAAAAGAGGCTTGCAATGAAGTACGACATTCCTGAAATTTCAGCGATCTCGTAAATGGCCGCAAATGAATACACGGCATTGCAAATCCTTGTTCCAGAAATTCCAGCACAAGCACTGCGTTAATAAACGTATTTATATTTGGGTTATAGAGTGTAAACTCGGTCATAACAGCTCTTGTGTGTCTGTCAATCCAATTATTATCTTTGGCATTTTGAACTTGTCGTTCCGATTGGGCCCGTTCCTCGTCCAAGAGAAAAAAGTACCCACCCCCACTGTACGTGTTATATACAGCAGACACAGGTGTTCCAAAAATAGCACTAGAATCAATGTATGACCACGCCTGAGGGATGAAACCAGAATCTGAACAATCGGGCCGCCGTTGCTGCCATTTTGGACAGTATGTCCCCTTATCCTCTCCAGTCAACTCATATGAGTCGATGCATGGATAGATAGTGGATACCAAGGTGCTCTTACATTTTCCTAAACAAACAATATCTTATACTGTATATGTGTGTCTTAAATTCTATTGGTATTTTTAGTACATCTTTAAAACTTATTTATGTTTCATATACATTATTCATATCTATTCAAGTATTAAATAGATCCTTAAAAAGATTTCCCACAATAACACGAGTTAGTTTGATAAGACAATTTTTTCCTGTATACGACATAATTTAAATGGATATTTAGAGTTTCTTAAAATGTATTGCTCGTTTTACTAAGAACCTTTCGGGAAAATTGACTCATTATATGACAAATAAAAGTATAGAGGTTTGCTCCAAATGTGCTTATTGGGGAGTAATTACTTATCTGATTAATGAGAACATTTGTACAAAAAAAGAAAGGTTGAAGAAAATTCCATAATTTCGAATCCATAATTCCAAATTCAATTTCAAGATCAAGAGGTGAAAATTGTTGGTATCCAACGAAAGGTCTTGTTACGTGGAAAACACACTGAAATATATATATAATATCTTCAATTTGTTATGGAAAAAGCACTGGAAGAACACAGGGCCTTATAAAATCATTTCACGTTTTACAACCTAACACATGCGAGCATGGAATTATATGAATGTACTTACGTTCTGGCATTCGAACCTGCCTTATGCGAGCAGGACCAACTCTCAAGTTTGCCAAATCGCCAAACATTTGTTCTCCTAAAATATCCAGTTTTTCTCCGTTGTATGTTCTTAAAGGGTAACATGTAGGGATAAACGTAGTCGTCATCCATTTATAGAAATCATCAGTATTATTCACCTTCATAAATAAAAATATTAATTAAATATAAATACGAATTAGAATTAGTTGATGAAAACATGAGTTTTTGACAAAGAATCGACTGACCTAAGTCGATAAAATATAGGTAGCAACTGTTCCTTCGCCAATCGTTCGGTACTTTGAAGTGAAAGTTGCGGGTCATTCGGATGAGACCTTAAAAACCGAGGCCCCGTGTCACGGTAGGTGTTGGCACGATAAAGAACCCCCACTGCTCAATGGCCCTGAATGCCGAGTAAAGGTCTAAATTTGAAGCCCCTCACCGGTATATGGTGACGTCTCTATGAGTGAAAATTCTCGAACGGGACGTAAAACAACATACAATACAATACAATCAAAAGATCATTTTCTTTAATTTTTCACAGAAACCTAACAGAATAGAGAAATAAAATACCAACATTGCATATACGCCCCTCCCTTGAAATTATTGACATCAATATGAAATTTTCCCATATTTACTTCCCTTTCACATCAATCTCGCTGATGGAAAATTGCAAAAGAAAACAAACCGCTGAAAATCCAAACTGGCCATATCCATCGCTTACGAGATAGTTTCTTATATTGTTTTGAAGGTAATAGGCATTGACATCAAACTCGATGAACCCTATTGCCAAAACACTTCCAGCTAATACCAATGAAATCATCAGGTTTTGGAAACTTTTTTTTGCTGAAGCAACCTCTTTGTGTCTTTTACGCATAAAAACAACTTTCGAATCACTGAGTGGCCGAGTTTTATGAAACACTGATCCAACAAGTTCTAAAAAAGTATGTAAAGAGCAACTTTGAAAAGAACGATTGAGAAATATTTCTCATTTTATCTAAAATTTAAATTAAAAGGATATGTAACTGCAAAAATCTTATAACTCTTTCATATTAAAAAAGTAACATTGTAAATATATGTTTGGTGAATTAGTTGTAGAGCTAAAAAGTCAGTTCTAATAAACACCACGCTTATTTTCATCTTTAGTCATGTTTTTGGATAAATGCAATAACATTCCACTTAAAGACATTAATACCGAAAGTATAAAAAATTAGCATTATTTAATATTAGTTTGTAACACTTTGGAATAAGAGTCATCCTTTAAAATGTTAGCTCTTACCAACATAATGTTTAGATTTCTTGCTTGAATGGAAGGCACAGTATTTCTTCAAAAGTTTGATATCAAATTCAATACTTCTATTGGTGGCAGGGTTTTTTAAGATAAATGAAAATATAGCAGCGATAAAAAGCATCTGTAAGAAAACGAAATTAATGTGATAAGATAACAATCTGTATATTGCATAAAGGCTGATACCAATTTAAGATATTTAATAAGTATTAATATGATGAACAACGAGTAGGCATGTCACGTTTACCTTTAAAGGATCAATACAAAATGGAGACGCAAAAAATGAAAACATAAACGATGAAAGCCATTCTTGCGATTTTGCTTTACCCCACTGCATACTGTACAAAACCAACACAAAAGCTGAAGAAGCAATTGCTGATACTATAATCGCACATGCAAGATGACGCATCCAGTGTGGTAGACGTTTTCGTCTTGGTCGGATAAGTTGGGCGCCGTGTTCTTCTTTTGTTTCAGTAGCCTTGTCTCTGGTGTGTTGGAAAATCAGTGTCACTAAAATGATTGGCAGAGTTGTGATGGCGGTGGATTTTAGTGATGTAAAAAATGTAGTTAGCGAAAATGAGATGATTCCAATTTTCAGTATCTCCTCTTCTTCCTCCGTACCCGATGCTTCGTAAAACATGGCATTCGCAAGCATTGCCAAAAAGAGAAATGCTAGTATACATGACAAACGTTGTACGCGAGTGAACGAACTGAGCTCAGGGCGGATGACTGTAGAGAACCACAAACTATTTTCAGTGATATTATGAAATAGTTGATCTGAAAACAAAACTTTAGTGTCATGCACATCAGTAGCGCTAGCCAAATAATCGGAACGTCCGCTGACCTTGTCCAGTGCTAACCAGGTATTGCACAGAAAAACATACCTATCCAGTGAAAAAAAAATTGTCATGAAGGTGACAGATTATGAATTATCGCAACGATTTGGATATTTATATGTTAAAAAGCCGTTTCCTTACCTTTCTCTAGTCTTTAAATCATCTAAAGTAACACTCCTCAAATACCAACTTTGTTCCCAGCCAATCGCCGAGAAATCGTGCCAAATCCACAAATTTATCAATCTTCCCAGATATTTTGGTGTAGACATTATAAATCGACGGATACTACCGGTTGCAAAACCCTAAGAGAAAAAAAGTTTCCTACTAAATTGCTAGGTCTTTTGAACATTTAAGTTTTTAAAGTTCATTTCTCCTTTCCGGTTCACTTTTGCTTTTTTTAAAAGCAAAATGCAAAAAAAAAAGGAACAGTGTTTTAGCATTCTATATATCAAATGAGGCCACTCAATTAATTCTTCAGATACTGGAATGGAATTGACTTTATGCATTTAACCTGCTAGTATTAAAGTGATATGCACAACTACTACATTATTTATAACAAATAATAGCAAGACATTAAAAATAGGAAAATTTTATGCATGCTGTTCCAAAATAAATTTAGGTCATTTGTAGAAATGCTATAATTGATGGATGTTTTTCTGTTATTCTTGGTATGCTAACTATCATGACTTGGGATAATTAAAAATTGTTAATTGGTTTGCATTATGATTAATAACTAATTAAAAAAAAATTAAATCATTAATTTAAAACTAGCTTTGATAAAAAAAAAGTGTCACCATAAATCAAAGGTTTTGCTATTAATTGATCTTTAGCTCTCTTTTCCAATTTTCTTTCCCAGGGAGTTACAGTTTTGCTGCTAATAAGAACAACACCCACTAATATTATTTACAAGCGATTAGAACATGCTATTTCCCCCCATTCTATCTTTAGACAATAAAGATTTCTTTATTCTGTGTCAGCTCTCCCATCTATTGTAAATAACTTTTTATTCGCAAGAACTTTATTTTCGCGTAACTACGCGAGACAGTATGCTCGCGAAAATTTCATTCGCGTGTATAATTGTATTCCTAAAGATTATATAGAGCAATAACCGCAATTCGTGAAAATTTTGTCTCACTAATAAAGAGTAAATGACTATCTCGCGAAAATTTAGTTATCTACAGTATTTTGCGGGAATCACACCACCGCCAAGTCTAAGACTCCCTTATTTACAATTAAAATATATTCATTATTTTCCATAAAGCTCAAAAAGCAAATACGCTTTTTATGTTTTTCGTACTTTAATTTTAAGAATATATTTCATTTTTGTCTTCTCCCTAGTGAAAATTGAGATGATTTATTTATGGTTCAAAGAAGAAAGGATACAATATGTGAGAGAAAAACATGTTTTGATAAACTTCATTCTTAGGTATAGTTCATTTGTTGAATGCTCTTTTTCATGACTTTATGAAAGTTGCTTTGTTTAAAAATCAACTCTCACCTTCTGGAGATCTTCACTAAGAATTCGAACCTCACTCTCTCCATATTCGCCATACAGGATAAAATTAACCTTGGACTGAGTACCTGCACCTGCTCTCAGCCCAGTGACAACAGTGATTAGGTAGAAATAGTCATCATCTATGCTATTGTCACATAGGAAGCCCAGCGTCCACTAAATAATAAAATCGAGTTTTAGTGTGAATGACAAAACCTTCTATTTTTATGAACAGAGAACAACCTTTATTAGATTGTTTGTAAAGTTGACCCACTTGTTTTCTTTTATCAACAGTAACTAGCACCACAATGTTCAGCTTTTAATCTTGTAATTACTGTAACTTGTAATTACTGTAACTTGTAATTACTACTCACCTTTTCCCTGTCCTCAGTATCTTTTCGTCTCAGAAGTAAAATTAAAAGTGTGTATATGACCAGAATTGCAATGATCGTCCCATAAACCACTGCATTGCTTACGTCAAAGTTATGGAAAGTCGCATGGAAGTCTATGTTGTTGACAGCCAGAAATGACGAACCGTAGACGACGTCTTGGCTCGACGATATATCAGGACATCTACATACTACTTCCCTTATGTTTGATATTGGTAGAGGCTAAAAAATAAATAAATAAATAAATAAATATATATATATATATATATATATATATATATATATATATATATATATATATATATATATATATATATATATATATATATATATATATATATATATATATATAAAGCACTAAAAAACCAACAACACTGTATATCGTAAGTGTCGGATCTACTAAGTAGATACAAGGTCACGGATGGAAATTAAAATGACCAACGACACGATCAATAATAATTGTCAAATTTTCGGGACGACCTGTCCCTTCCTCAGGAAAAATAAAAAAGTTAAGAAGTCATGAAAACAAAGGAAATAGAGAAACAAAAACAACTAGCACTACTACTAAACTACTAAACACTAAATATTTACAGTGTTACATTTTTAATTTGAAGTTTATAAACAGTTGTGAACAAAGAAATCCGGAGCGCTATGAATTGCATCCGTTCTATCGGGTGTACTTTGATGAAGTGCGATTTACGTAATTGAACGAATTAATTATCGCTAATTAATTACGACCAAGCAGTAAATCGTACATTGTCTTATTCTCTCAAAATAGCGTAACTATACATGATAAAAAGAAATTAAAGAAAGATAATATGGAAGGGCAATTTTAAAATATGAATTTGGATATATTATAAATTTGGAAATCGGATAAAAGAAATAAACAAAAATGTAAGCTGTAAATATTTGGGTAGGTTGTTCCAGAATTGCTAATGGGAATTAACGGTAAAGTTTACACTAAATAGAGAGAATGAACTTGTTTGTTACAATCCGGGATTGGGTCTAGTTCACGTTCATCCTGGTGAAGTCATTTAGTTTGTTAATACCATTAGGGCGGAATGACTTCAGCCTGTGCATCCAGAACTTTTCCTTGTCTTTTCTCTGAGCGTCTGTCCATCTTGGATTATGGTCAATAACCACTGTTGTCATGTCCTCCCATTTGTGACCTTCAAGGTTGAAATGTTCCCCAACGGGTTCATTGAGTTTTTTGGTCCTAATGGTAGAACGGTGATTATTGACTCTCCTGCGGAGATCTCCTGTTTCACCAACATACTGTTTGGAGCAAACTTTGCAACTGATGAGATAAATGCAGTTGTCTGTTTGACAGGACAAATTCCCTAGTATTTTGTAGCTGCGGCCTGTAACGGGGTTGTTAAAGCTGTCTGTGTCAGAGCTGTGCTTACAGAGAAGACATCTTCTGTCAGAGCAAGTTTTAAAGCCCCCGTTAGGTACATGTAATGGATTGTCCAATCTGGTTCTTACTACCATGTCCTTTAGGTTCCTCGAGCGTCTGTATGCAGCCAATGGGGGCTCCTTAAAGACCTCTGCCATTCGTTTATTTGAGTGGAGAATTGGCAGATTCTTTTGAAGGATACCGCTGAGGTTCTTAAGGACGGGATGGTATGTTGTTACCAGAGGGACCCTGCCGCTATTGTCTTTTTCCTTGTAGCGTAATAGGTTTTGCCTGTCATGTCCCGCCATCTCATCAATAGCAGTTTGTACGGTGCAGGCATTGTAGCCTCTCTTGCATAAGTGGGACTTGAGGAGACCGCTTTGTTCCTGATATAAGGCAGGGGATGAACAGATGCGCCGAATTCTGGTGGCTAGACCCTTAGGCACACCCTTAAATGTGTGTGGGGGATAACAGCTAGTTGGCATAAGATACAGATGGGAATCTGTGGGTTTCGTGTGAAGACTGAACTCGATTTCACCATCAGTCAGGGTAGATGTAGTATCTAGGAATATGTTTTTCGAATTAGATACGTCTACTGTAAATTTGATAGACTGATGAAAGGTGTTGGCAAACGAAATGAATGCCTCGAGGCTCTCGCGACATTCCACCCACTTCATCTCTATATCGTCAATGAAACGTAACCAGCTAAGGGGCCAAAATGGTGCTTGAAGTAGCAAGTTGCGTTCAAGTCTGCCCATGAAAATATTGGCATAAGATGGTGCCATTTTCGTACCCATAGCAGTGCCATTAACCTGCAGGTAATGTTCTCCGTTAAACATGAAGTTGTTATACTTGAGAACATGTTCAAGGAGCTTGGCAAGGGACTCGGTAGAAGGAATTTGTATAGATCTACTATCCCAGACTTCTCTACAGGCTTCGATACCCTCATCGTGCGGAATATTGGTGTACAAAGATGTGACGTCCATAGTCACGAGAAGGGTATGATCTGGAAGGCCAGTAGAGGGCGTCTTGTTAATGTAGTCCGTGGTGTTCTTGAGAT